TTTCTCTTTCTGGCTTACTTCACAGAATGATGATTTCTAGGTCCATCCATGTTGCTGCAAATGGCATTATTTTATTCTTTTTATGGCTGAGTAGTATTCCACTGTATTAATATACCACAGCTTCTTTATCCAGTCATCTGTCGATGGACATTTAGGTTGCTTCCATGTCTTGGCTATTGTAAGCAGTGCTGCTGTGAACATTGGGGTGTGTGTGTCTTTTCTAATTAGAGTTCCCTCTGATACATGCCCAGTGCCCTTATTTTAGAAGACAGAAAAACCAGTGGGGCTAATGCAATTCTGAAACTGAGAATTATCTGAATATTTTCTGGCATGGATTTTGCCTAGTGTACATGATTACCAAATACTTGCAAAAAAAAAGGGGGGGGGCGGAAATGCCCTCAAAGAGGGTTCATTTGCTGCCCACAGTTTTATCATCACTTACCCTGAAGGTGTGCAGACTGAGGCTTGTGACTTCAAATCCTTTCCCTGCCCTACTTCTTGCCTCTAGTCCAGGAGTAGTTTTCAAATTAGAGCGCACAGCTGTCATCTGGGACCTTCACAAAGATGCAGTTACTTTGGCTCTGCTGCCACAGACACTGAAGGGGTGGGTGGGGGACAGGCGGGGCTGGGGGCAGCTGGTGATAGGTTATTTTTAATGTGTATTTCAAGACATTGCTGGGCTGGCGGCCTGCAGAACAACAGCTTCAGCCTTCTGGACACTTTTGCTAAATACCTGCCTTGGTTTCCTCTGCTTTGGAAAAAAGAAAAAAAGAAAAAAAAAAAAACACCCGAGGTAAAAAGGAGGCCTGGCTTACTGCTGGTGAACATGAGACCTCAGAAACCAGGGCAAGGCTCAGCACCTAGCCTCACGGAAAAAAAAATATTGACCCGTCGCCAGAATGAAAGTAGATTATATGTCTAGTTAGAAATGGAAGCGGCAAGTTTCCACTGCAAGTGCCAGGGTGGCGGGAGGGTGGTAAGGTAATGCTTGAAAGAAAGGGGAGTCTGCTCCCTTCTCCCCACCCTCGTTCTTGATGGGCAGAGGGAGAGCACAAGGGAGGGCCGAGCTGAGAAAGTTCCTGCTGTTTCATTCACAGCTGCATGTTGCTGTCTTATCACTTACGCATGTTTGCAAAGTGCTCTCAGCCTCTCTGATAAAAAAAGGGACACAATATTGGCAACATGTTCACTATTACATGGTAGGAGAGACCCAGCATGAATACGAAGTTGGCCACTGGCACCCCAATGCAGAGCTCACCTGCAGGACAGACAGACAAGGAGGACAGGCGGGTGGTCAGAACTCCAGAATGACATAAACTGAGCCTTATGCAACACAGTGCCCCTCTGCTTTCCAAGCCACACTCCCTCTCCAAAGTCCCAGACACGGTCCGCCCCAGCTGGTGATCCCGGCTGGTGGCCCTGGTCACCTTGGAGGTTGATGAGTCTTGGGGGAAGCTGTTGAAATGACCCACATGCCCTTTCTTAGCAACTGGGAAGCCAGGACGCAGGCCCAACCCAGGCTCAGCCAGGCCAATCCACCTACTGAAGACCTTGAACCTTGAGTGAGTGAAGCAGAGTCAGGGAAGAGGGGACCATTTTCAGTCAAGGGCCATGATGGCAGCAGAGCCGTGACCGTGTCCAGAGTGTGGTGTGGGCAGAACCTTCTTCACAGTCATGTTTGGGGCGTGATTCTGGCTGAGTTTGGCCTTGGGGCTCCCGTCTTCCCACAGCTTTCATTCCTCCTTGGCTCTCCGCGAGGTACCCAGCATCCTTTCAGTACATTTCTTTTCTACTTGAATCAGCTGAAGTTGGTGTCCTTTGCTCACATCTAAGATCCCCAGCAGATTCAACCAACGGCTTCAGAGAGGGGAAGATTTCCAGGTAAAGGAAACTACCTACTTCAAAAACAATTGCCATAACTCATCCCAGAGATGATGAAGTCAGGAGCTTCAAAGCCTCATCTGTTATTCATGATGAATGCATGTCAGAGACTCTACCCGTGGAAGGACTGGCACAAGCCTTTGACTCAGCATTTCCTCTTCTTGGACTTAATCTCCAGAGGCATTCCCACAAGGATGCTGCTAGCTGTCAGGCTGGAGCTACACAGGCTGGTACTATTTTCTGGGACCTGATGGAGGAAATAGGTTGGGCGCAGGGCATGGGAATCGAGGGTAACATTTAGGAAATGTTAAGTTGGAGATGCGCCTGAAATACCTGAGGGAGGTACGAGGCTGGTACTTGGATGAGCGTAAGAGTATGGACATTAGAGATATTTGAATGAAGGAATAGGGAGGGTATAGCTCAAGTAGTAGAGCGCATGCCTAGCACACACAAGGTCTTGGGTTCAATCCAGAGAAGCACCTCCAAAAGTAAGTTAATAAATAAACCTAATTGTCTCCCCCAACCAAAAAGAAAAAAAAAGTGGTAATGAATGAAGGACTAGATTTGGAAGTCATCGGTGAATGGATGGTGTTCAAAGCCATGGATGAAAACACCTGGGAAAAAGAAATGGATGGAGAAGAGTGAGAGGGCACATGTAGAGATCAGGCAGAGGGTGAAGGAGACCAGTCAGAAGTGTCTGGTGGGACAGGAGGAAAATTTGGAGGCTATTGGTTCAGGGAAAACAAGAGATGAGAGTGATTCAAGGAGAGGAAGTGGGCTGCCATGTTTGTTGCACCTGCCAGGATGGCTATATCAGATGAAGTTGGGTTGGACAACATGGAAGCCATCGATGACCTTGATCAGTGGGGCCGTGATGTAGCTAGATGACACAACCTTCAAATAAAATGTAATTTTTAAAGGAAAAAAAAGAGAGAGAGAGAGAGATAATTTGGAAATGGCCATGGAGGGGTGGTGGTTTCAAGGGAAGCAGTGTTAGGGGAGAGGATCAGTCTGGTTCCAGTCAACACAGGGATGCTGGGGACCCTGAAGGGAGGGGCTGGAGGTGTGGAATCTGCCAATCACAGCAGAGCCCATGGTGCGGTGAGGGCGGTGGTGGGTCCATTCTGGGGAGGTGGAGATCAGAGCAGGGACAAGTCAGGGACAACTGCCTGGAGGCTCGGACTTCTCACGGGACCCAGTCTGCAGCCCGGAGTCCCGGGGGCGGGTGGAGGGGGCCGGCTGCGGGGCAGGGGCTCTGCTTCTCGCTCAGCTTGACGGTGGTCCTGGGGGACCGCTCTGGCACGCAGCTGGCTTTACAGCTTTTTAACAGCATCTCCCAAGGGCACAGCTGAAGCATTTGGGCTCCTTTGGCTAAATTCACGTCCAGGTTGTATCTCAAGACTTATATTAATGTATCTCTAACAATCAGAGGTTTGTTGCATCAATTATGATACACGCGTACAATGGAAAGCTTTGTAACCATTAGAAAATACGTGGTTGAAGAATATGGGAAAAATACAATAAATAGTAAAGTGCAAAAAATCAGGTTCCAAAACGTACAATAGGATCCCAGTTTGGCCAAACAGACCAACGCAAGTTTATCTGCCGGCAAGCGCACGTCTAGGACTAGTCTGCACAAAAACAGTAACAGCATCCTTTGTGGAGCGGAGTGTGCGGATCTTAATTTTCTTCCTGCTTTACTCTATTTTCCCCAAATGACAGTGACAATGTGATGTTTATCACTTTTGTAAGCTGAGGGGAAAAAAGAAAGAAAATTATTTCTAATAGCAACGTCAGGTGTTTTTTTCTCTTCCTTTCTCTGAGGAGACTATTTAAAGGCATTTCTGAGCTTCTTTCAGCTCACGATGGATGCTACACTGCTTCCCGGCACAACTCAGGCCCTCTGATCCTCCTGCACACGTCAGGTGCTCCTTGAACTTGATGCTGTGCTATCGCTCCAGCTCCAAATCAGAGGATCTGGAGTTTGAATGAGCGGAGTGTTCTGGCTCTACGGACCTTTTCTACAATGTCCCGGGTGAGTGGCTTCCACGTGTGCAGCTGATTATGTTTTCTTCTAAAACCTGCTCCCTCCATCCGGTACCTTTAAGGGAGTCCAGGACCCTCCGCCTTCACTCCTCTGAGGGTAACCCTGGCTGCTTGCGGGATGGGGCAGTGACCCTCCCAGGCCCCTCCCTGCTCCCAGCCTGGTTCCCACTTCTCTCTAGCTCCCCCCATCCCCTCCTGGCCCTTGGCCTCAGATGCCCTTTCTGGCACTGCTCCTGCCAGAATGAACTCTTCTTGGGTTTAGATTTAGCCTCTGGATCCTCTGCTCCATCCCTCCCCAACAAGATACTCTCACCTCTCTTGGACCCCTGGGGACAACCCCTCTGTCTCCTCTCTGCTTGGGTCTTTGAAGTCAAGGAGGGGAGGAGGGAAGATTTGGACAGACCTCTTTCTGTGTGTCTCCAGGGATCTGCCTTTGGCTCAAACTGGCCCATCTGTTAAGAATTTGTTTTATCCTAATTCAGTTTCAAGCTACTTACAAAGATGATTTGCATTCAGTCTCTGCCCTCTTTAAAGACACTGGTGAGCATGTTGAATGGGCTCAGGACAGAGCCCAAGTGCAGGACTCCAGAAACCCCCATAGGCTTGATGCTCGCAGAACCTAGTAACCGAACCTAACATCGGGGACTTAGCCTGCTTTTCTTGTGTTGGACAAGGCCAAGGTCAAGGGCCTTGCTGAATTCCCAGCAGAAGAATCTCAGCTCCTCCACAAGCCATGGTTCTTCCTCAACCTCTCCGTTGCTGGTTGACTTAGAGCTTCGCCCTGCCAATCTGTAAAATGAGGCAAGTCTGGTCTCAGGCTGTTGGGAGTGGATGTATGTGAAAGTACTTTGTGGCCCATAATTCATGAGTGTCACCCATGGTGGTGGTTGACGGTTGAAACCCTACCAAGACAAAGCTGAGAGGCCGGCAGGACTTGTTTTTGGTGATGTGGGCCCCTCCCAATGATCACGACTTCTAATGCTCACAAGTCATCCATTGAATAATCTGTTTTAGAACATTGCTAGGATTTTTTTATTTTTTTAAATCAAACTCAAGGATCTACGGCTCCTGAAAGGAATCCTGCAGCTTGGAGTAAACCTGCAGGCCCTGGTGTGTCACTGACACGGGAGTAGGACCCAGGTTGTGTACCAGACTTCTTTAAAACAGCCAGAAAAAGATAAACAACCCAGTAGAGCACTGGCCAAGGGCACGGATAAGTAACCGAGAGGAAACTCGGGTACCAAAGATACTCCACCTCGTTTGCCAGCAAGGAAATACAAATTAAAATCATGATGAGAAGTCATTTCTCACTCTTTTTTTTTTTGTTCTTGTGGTTGTTTTTGGGGGGGAGTAGGGGGAGGTAATTAGGTTTATTTATTCAATTTATTTAATGGAGGTCCTGGGGATTGAACCCAGGACTCGTGCGTGCTGAGCACGCGCTCTACCACTGAGCTCTACCCTCCCCCCATTTCTTACTCTTTAAATCAGGAAATATTCCTGATAGTCTGACCATTCCAAGTGCTGGGAGGACACAGAGGACTGGAATTTTGAGTGCTGTGGTGAGGTGGTAATTGGGTGGCTCTGGGGAGCAACTGGCAACTTCTAGTTAAGCTGGAGGTGTACAGGCTCACCTCTCGCACCCAGCAAGACAGCACCTCAGTGTAGACTCAAGGTCAATTCTTGCCCACCCGCCCAAGGAGACATGGCCCCTAGTGTTCACAGCAGCACTGTTTATTAGGAGAAAAAGCACAAACAACTTAGATATTTGATAAGGAAATGGATTTAAGAATCGTGGTATATTTATGCAGTGGAATTCTATTCTACAATGAAAATGAATGAACATGAGAGGGCATGTAAGGAAGGCATCTATGTTACTAGGGTAACGTTCTGCCTATCTTTTTTAAGCCAAGGGATGGTTATACAAATGCGATCACTTTGTAAAAAATTCCTTGAGCTGTACCTTTAAGACTTGTCAATCTTCCTGAATGGTTGTTAAGCTTCAATAAAAAGGTGAACCAAAAATGAACAAACGTGCACCACACGCACCTGCACAGGTTATCTAAAACTCAGGGTTAAAGAGACAGATCTTGCTGAAGGCTACATAAAGTAGACTATCACTTACAAAAAGTCTAAAAGCTTGCCAGATAATGGGGTAAGTTGTTTACACACACAGGGGTGGCAGAAGTGTATAAACACTTGCAGTACGGAGGCACAAGGAACGGGTTTAGAGGGGCACAGGCAAAAACATATCCATAAACCTTTATTCCTAAAGCTGTGGTGGGTACACAAGTATATTATTGTAGCATTATTTATATTTTTGTATAAATAAAATATTTTATTTAAAACTTTGTAATAGGGGGAGGATATAGCTCAGTGGTGGAGCATGTGCTTAGCATGCACAAGGTCCTGGGTTCAATCCCCGGTACCTCTATTAAAAAAATAATAATAAATACATAAAAAGCTTAATTACTCCCCCCACCATCCCACAAAACAAAAATTCAGCGTGGTAAAGGAACTTCAAAATACGTTCGGTGATCTCACTGGTATGTGGAATCTAATAACAAAAAAAACTTTGTAAAAAAAATCAGGACACATTATGTCTGTCTCCAGTTCTCCAGTTTTCTGGTTCACTGCTTTTTTCCACGATTCCCACAGGTGGTCTCAGAAGCCTGGAGTTCTGTCTGCATGTTTTTCTCAGGCTGAGGGGAAGTAGCGGTGAAAACTCAGGAATCAGACTGCCTGCACTCAAATCCCAACTCCGCCATTTGCTGGCTGTGTGACTTTGGGCAAGTGATTTAACCTCTCTGTGCCACAGTTTATGCATCTATAAAACGGGGATGATAACAACACCTCGGACAGGGCTGTTGGTAGGATTAACTGAGTTCAAACCTGTAGAACTGCCTAGCAGACAGTCTGCACTGTGTTATTTACTCTGATGAACCTGCCAGGCTGAAGTTGGCTCACCTTCCTTCACTCTCATCGTCCACCCTCTCTGGCCCTCCTCCTAGCCAAATAAAAAAGCAGAGCATTCCCACATTCTGACTGTTCACTTCTCGGTCGAAAGGCCCGTTCCTCCTCCTCTGCCTTCTTGATCTGCCCTTCACCCTAAAACCCTACTGCTGTCGCCTTGAGCCATCTTCTCGAGCATGAGCACATTCTGGACCTGCCTTCCCGACCTTCTGCTTCAGAGGCCATTCATTGTTTTGTTGGGGCCACTTGGTGTCTTAAAATATTTGAAACAGTCACCTGCATTTCTCAATCAGGGGAGTTCCCCTTAAAGTCAGGATCCTCAGCTTCTGTTGAGAAATTGGACCATCTGGCAACATTAGGCCCACACCCCCGTGTGGCAGCCACTGACCTGGCCAGAGGGACAGCCCAGGTGAGCTCCACAGCCCTCCCGACTGCCTCACGCAGGTGCCACCCGCAGAGGACAGGAGACAGGTGTCCGCTGTGCAGAGGCGTCTGGCCAGGGCGCCAGGGGCACTGAAACATACCCAGGTTCTGCTCGACAGGCTGTGGCCCTGAAGTGTGGGTACATCTCCCCGAAGACAGGCCCCAGTTTCCTTAGTGACGTCTGGGCTTGAGATGGCCCTGTTCTGTCCCCTGGCTTGCTCTGGGCAGCTGAGTTAGCAAGAGCCCCTTCAGCTGGGGGGCCCATGCCCTCCTCAGTACCGTTCTGTTCTGAGCGCCTCCTTTAAAGTGTATCTCCCCTTGAGTCAGTGTGAGAAAGCACCTGAGAGTGACTCGTTAGAGGAGAAAATATTTCACTGAAGTTAAAGCGCTCATCTGAGATTCCCTGGAGACATGAATTATCTGTGACGAGTAGAGGTCAGCACGTCTATGACACCTGTGCCGTCACTTTTGCCTCCAGCATCTGGACTCATCACTCCCAGATCAGCTCCCCCCAACCCCAGTGCCTGGAGGAAGGGGTGGCTGTGGGAGGTAGGGAACAGAGTGGGTGGGAGCAAGAGGCCAGTGCCTCAGTGTCCCTTGTGAGGATGGCAGGGCTGAAATGTTTGGAGCCTCTGGAATTTCTTCATAATTGCGTATGTCTGACCCTCATCTGGCTTTCTTGGTGATTTGCCAATAACAAGCCTCAACCCCAAGGGAATAAATGCAGATTTGTGGGAGCAACAAGACAAAAGTTGAGCTTTAATACCATCTACTCAGCAGGTGATGTGAGGGAGAGGGGAAACCAAAGGGATGGTGGGTCTAGCTTTGGCAGCTGATGAGGAAGGGAAGCTGACCATATCCTAGGCCTCCTGACAGCAGTTTAGGATAAAATCCTAAATAGCAGTGGTCTCATGTAAGGAAGACCAAAGACAGGCAGTTTATGCCTAGGCGGAGGCTTCAGGGATCCGGATTTCTCTCTTGCTCCACTACCCTCAATATGAGGCCTCACCTCATTGCTTCAAGATGGCTGCATGGGCTCCAGTCATTATGTCAGAATTTTACCCATCCAGAAAGAGAAGAAAGAGAAGGGCTCGCCCCACACTTTAAGGTTGCATCTTAAAAGTCTCACACATTTCCACCTACATCCCACTGGCCAGCACATAGTTGCCTGGCCCTACCTAGCTGGAAGAAAGGTGAGAAAGTTTGGTCTTTATCTGAGCAACCTTGTGCCCAGATACAACCATGGTCTCTATGGGGAAGCAAGAGGGGAGAACAAAGAGTATGAAAATGAATATATGTATGTTCATGTTTGACTGAAGCATATGCTGTACACCAGAAACTGACATAACACTGTAAATTGATCATACTTCAATTTAATATATACATATATATTTAAAAAAAAACAGGGGGAGAACAGATCCTGGGGGCCTGGGTGTGAGAGGACGACCATGGGGGCAGAACCAGCAGGAGGCCAGCAGGCTTTTAGAGACACCGTCTCTTTCTCTAACAATAGGTTCCTTCTCTGCGTGGAATTTTATTTCTGAGAAGCTCCCCCCCCCTTTTTTTTTTGACTAGTTTCTTTTTCAGATTCTCAGATCTTGAAATCTGCCCTTCTAAAGTCAATCATCTCTAACCAAAATGTCAAACATCCTGCAGAGCCCCCCACGAGGGCTGTTCTGTTACTTATTCTAAGACAATGCTTGGGATACACGTGGAATCAAGTCCCCACCCCCCCAGCCCACCCTGCCAGAGTCACCAAGGCTTCCCCCCCGTGGCCCAAATGAGATGCCGACCAGAGCCCCCTCCACCACCTCTACGAGCCCTGTTACCAAGCCTGCAGTGCCCAGATGAGAACTGCTTTAACTGGGACGTTGTACACGCTGGAGGAAAGGAGGATATTGGGACGTGATCTGCAAGAGGCTTGAGGTGGCAGACACACTTAAGTCTCTTTTTCAAGTTTCAGGTTTAGTGTTTTGGGAAACTTTCTCTCAAAGAAAGAACCGCAAGCCCAGCTGTCAGATTTCTGCCCAGGACTGACTGAATACACACTCATGAGTGGCCAGCAGGCCGGGGCGGGGGCGGCACGGCAGATGGAGGGGAGCAGGGGACACTTTAACTGTCGCATGTTTTTGCCTCGATATGGAGAAAGCCTGCAGCACAGGTCCCTTGCCTGTTGTTTCAGGAAAAAAATTAAAGGGAAAAAGTGAAATACAAAAAGCTATTTTTAAATAACTTTAAAGCCTGTGTCATCAATTCGTCGAGTTACCTGACATGCCTTACTGTGCGGTTTTGGTTCCAAAAGAGGAGGAGGTTGTATGCAGAGCACAGGCTACTCTGTGCTGGTAATTATGTGGTTGCCCTCATGTGTATGCTTGTCTCGTGTCGCGGTGTCGTACAGTCCCAGCTACACAGTAAGTGGACAGTGGCCGCAGCTCATGCGGGTTTCGTCTCCGTCGTAGTGCTTGCTGGGATCACGCGTGTCCGCCTTCCTCAGAGCTGCCTTAGATACATCAACTCTGCGTGTTTGCGCATGTCCCACTTCGTTTCCTTGCTTGTTTTCCCTGCTCCTGGTGTACTCAGAGAAATTTCTAATAATCTTCCCCCTCTCCAGGTGCATAAATAAAATTGTACAAACTGCGTGTCACATGATGGGAACTGAACAGATGAGGTACAGTTTAGAATCAGTTCATGTTGCTTTCACAGCTGGAGTTTGTTTAGACCTTATATTGAAGTATAAGACTCTCAAAGCAATGCCTCCGAACGTGGCCAGGACACAATTCATTCTCCCTGTGACAGTGTGAGAGCTGATGTATTTTTTTGATGCCAGTGAAATGGAATTGGGCATCCATTTCCAGACCTGCCATGATTTCAATCTTCCGAAAGACACCAACTCTGCAGCCTGTGTCCTTCAACATACGCAGCCACCCCTTGGCCCAGCTGGAAGGTCTAATAATCTTTAAAATTTCTCCTCTAGGCAATCTCTCATGGCTTTCTTCTCTGCTCTGAGAATTAGATGCAGGCAGTTTTGACTTGCAGATTCTAACTCAGCAGCTGGATACCGTGAGCTAAGGGTCTTATGTTCCTTCACCTTTCTCTCTGAAGGCTCCTTTAGGAGAATAACTTTATCCTTTAAAAATGCAAAATTTCTCATTTTGAAAGCCCCAATCTCAAAATTGTCTTTTCTCATGATTATCTTATCCAAATTTTGTTGGAATTGCATTAAAATAAACACACTTGAACACATGCACACTGTATTGATATGTGATCTTAAAGTTTTTCTTCAATGATTTTACATTTTTTTCTACTTCCTGCAAAGAAATGTACTATGGCACGAAAATATTTCATCATCAGTTAGGTTTCTGAAAAACATGTCTTGTCCAGATCCTCAGCTATATGCTTTAATGTTACTATTTGTAACTGAAACAGAAATTAAATTGATGCTTCCAAAATCAACCTTCCAGTTTCAAAGGTCGGCTCATCTAAACTCAGTCTCAGAGTTTACAGGTGGGAAACCCCTGTGAATTGGGACTGTAATGGCTCAAAACAGCCCACGTGAGACATCGCATGATATTTAGAAGAAGCTCCCAAGACAGTGGTGAGCAGAAACACTCATTCCAAACTAGTTCTTTTCTACAAACAGAGGCCACGTCCAGCCTCCCGGGCAGAGGGCTAAACTTCGGGGTCAGACACCCAGTCAGTTGGTGATAAACCAGGTAAGCTTGCTAAGTTGGTCTGTGGAACATGTTTTAATTTTAGCTGCTCCACATCAACGCACAGGAGAATTTTAAAAGAAAGTCATCTTTTAGAATGGAAGATGGTTAAAACAAAACCACCAGGATTTCTTTCGCCTACTTGAGGCAGTGATCTGCATGGGCACCCACTCTAAGCTCTCCTGGGTGGAGGCATCCGCACAGCGCAGACTCAGGTGCAGGGGGCACTGGGCCTCAGTGCTGCTTCTGCGTCTCCTTCAGCAAAAGTCTCCTGGGACTCAGTGTTGCCAAGAACCAGCCCTCAGGGCCCTGTGTCATCTCTCTGCTACCAGTAGAGACTTGTATCTGAGACCATCATGTTCCGGAAGGAAGAGATACTCATCTAGAAAGAGTTATCTCCCCTCTCCATGTTGAATTTAACTGAAATAGGGAGCAAAATTCACAGAACAATTTTATGCAAACAGAAAAGCCGAGTTACTCGAGGCAGACGCTGGAGCGGATGTTTCTGGAAGCCATCTCCCCCTGCCTTCCTTTATAGACCATGACATTCCTTGTTTCTCACCTCTTCCTGCCACTGTGTAAGGTCAGGTTTTTCCCATCGGCTGCCCAGTGCACTGTACGAACCTTCCAACTCCTCAGACTCCATCCAGCCTCCACACCACTGCCACCCCCACCAGCTGTTTTTAAAACGGTGTTTGCCAGGTCAGAGACTCCCAGCAACTGGCGGCGGTTCTGTGGCCTTCAGAATAAAGTGTAAGTCCTCTCTCAGAGCCTCCCTACCCTGGGACCTGCCTCCTCCTCTGAGCCTCCTCTCCAGGGCTTCCTACGCAATCTTTGCCCCAGCCTTCCAGAATCAGCCCCACATCCATCT